TGGAACAACGTGCGGGTAGCTCAGCGAAACAGGGGTTCGCATATAGCTGCCGACGTAGATGCTGACGACGTGCCTGCGCCGGCACCGGCCCCGCCACGCTATCGCCGCCCGCGCAGACAGTCGGCGCGCCAGCCAGACCCGCCAACGCGGCGCCAACGAGCGCACCTGGTGCGGTGGCGCGATCGGTTGCTACCTCAACAGACATTACGAAACGTCTTATCGACGCTTAATGTCATGAATCTGGTGAGATCTTTCTATTTTTATATTTCATACTTTTAAGTATGCGCAACATTGACGAATAGTTGCGATGAAGTAGATCGTGGTCATTCAGTGAACCGACAGACGGTGTCAGTTTTGTCATTAAAAGGTGAAGCAAGTGCGTAGTAACGTGAGTGAGCTAGTGATGATCATACTTGGTCATATATGATAGCAAACTACGTAGTATAGAAGTAGATTCTTAAATACGGTGCTATAGTTGCAATATAGTCGAGTAGTATAGAAGTAAATTTAGTTCTTTTGAAAAATAACCTACGGACAAAATCGTATATGCTTTTTGTGAGAAGATAGGTCATACTGAATACGCTTACTTTACAAAGAAATAAACTGAATTAGGCTAACGCAAGTTTTCGCCGTGACTTGGACTAGTGATAATGCACATCGCGACGAAATTATCGCGCCGTAATATGCGGGTACCCACAGATGTTTAGTACGATAGTGGTTCAACAACTTTTAAATCAAAATGATCGTTTTCGTGTTGTAAGATGCACATATTATGCTGTTTAGACGAAACGGATATGCGGTCTGATTATACCCACAAATGTTTAATACGATAGTAGTTCAACAACTTTTAAATCAAATGATCGTTTTTGTGTTGTAAGATGCACATATTATGCTGTTTAGACGAAACGGATATGCGGTCTGATTATACCCACAAATGTTTAGTACGATAGTAGTTCAACAACTTCTTTTAAATCAAATGATGGTTTTCGTGTTGTAAGGTGCACATATTATGCTGTTTAGACGAAACGGATATGCGGTTTGATTACTTTCTTACTTAATCTGCAAAATTCATAACATCTCACAAGAAGTAACTTCTTAGTACCTTGTGATTATCTTAAAGACGTCGGTACTCATTGGTAATGATATTTTTAATATTGAAAAGACATTGCGTATACGAAATAACGATTTTTAGCGTATTTTTAGAAACCGCTCTTTTGAAAATAATATAGCGCGTAGTGAATCGATAGCGCGACTTCAATTGATAAATACACCGTTCCGTGGTGATGAAAAAGAAAATTTGTAGTCTTAATGAATAAACATTCTGAATACTTTTTAGTGGCTCAGTCACAGCTATGGTCAATACCGTATAGAGATACACATTCGACTACTTGTTAACGAAGTAGCGTTATGTAGGTACGACGGTTAATTACCGAATCGACCATATAAATTATTTTACAGTTATAAATTAAGCATGCGTGTGAAAATCCAGGTTTACAATTCATTTCCGCTAAGTGTAATTACCTCGCTCCTGAGGTTGTGTATCCTAGGAGACTGGAACTATTTGTAAGAGTCAGGTCAGGCCGAACGTATCCAAAAAGAAATGATGGATTCTTCGTTCAAACAAATTTCAATTTGAGCATTTCATTCATTCATCAAGTAATACTTATTTTTGAATCTTCCGCGTGAACTATCTTATCGTATAAGGAACGAGCGAGGAAGACTAAGTCTGTTGCTTTTTTGAACACTTGTGGTAACTGTACATTTTAAGTTCAAATGTGTGAATACAAACTGCGAATTAGTACTAAATCATTAAAATCTAAATATTAAATACGCAATCAATTGGTTGATTAAGTAAATAAGATTAAAGCGGTGTTAGAGTAGGAAAGTCTCTACAAGCAGTCCTCGTTCATGTGTATGACGGACAGAGAAAATAAACGCCGTAGTAGTTTTGGATACCAAAAACTGTCGAAGCTGCTTGTTGCGGAATACGATGTTGTCGGTTGAGACGATGTATAATAAAAATGAACTGATCAAATGCAAACAATATCATTTAAGGAGAGCTGACATGGTTTGTGCAATATTTAGTTGATATTATTTAGTGATACTGGTCAGCTATCTTATTCGGTATATCCCGTGATACACCCAAATCGCCTCTTGAAATTTTAACGGGGAAAAGAATAGAAACTAGAGAGATGAGATCATCTCTATATTGGCTAGTCAATCCGCGTTGCTTATCTTTGACCATTTACGGACTGAAGTCCATACGGATGCAAGTGCACTAGGTTACGGTACTAATTCAAATAGGAAAAGACGGACGTATACACGCAGTAGCTTTACAATATGTGCAGATCCAAGGTACTACTCCTGAGCTCGAGATACTTGCTGTTGTCAAGGCATTGCAACATCGTCATCTCATCGGAAAACATTTTAGGGTAGTAACTAACTGCAACGCCCTGAAAATTATAAGAGGATCTCTTGCCTAGGTAGTGCGCTGGTGAATGTGCCTACAGGATCGTGATTTGACGTTTGAATATCGTAAAGGTTAGTTCATATCACACGCATCGAAATCCTTTAATAACCTCACGAATCGTAGTAGCATATGCTGCTGATGATGAAACTACTTGTACAAGGGCAGTTGAATAGTTTGCGATATATAAAGAAAATAAATCTTAAAGAAAATAATTATTAACATATCTCTATAGGAAAAAGTCGCGATTATTGTTATATTTCTAAAGACTACGTGTTGACCATATTGACGTGGAAACGTTGTCGAGTTCAAATTAGTTGACGGTTTCAAAGTAGGGTCCATCTTGTAAAGAAATACTATAGAGCACGGAATTGTTTGTTTAATGTGTAAACATGTTACCTTATACTTTATATCACGTTCCTCTCCACCCAATGTCCAGGTCCACTATACTTTCAATACCTTATGATGCAGTACATAAAATGTAACGAATACAAATATATTCTCGTACACTCAAATGCTTTCTCTATTGTTCTAATCTATACAGAGTCAAAATAGAGTAGAGTCAAAAAGGAATTTGAGTTTTTCTAATGTAATTTGTATTTTTGAGATAAATTTTATCGTAAGGTATTTAGGTAACACCTCGTGTAAGGCTTTGTGCAGCATCGAGTGTGTTATAGGATACACCTCGTGTAAGGCTTTGTGCAGCGTCGAGTGTGTAATAGGTAAGCACCTCATATAAGGCTTTGTGCAGCATCGAGGGTGCTATAGGATACACCTCGTATAAGGCTTTGTGCAGCATCGAGCGTGTTATAGGATACACCTCGTGTAAGGCTTTGTGCAGCGTCGAGTGTGTATTAGGTAGCACCACGCATAAGGCTTTGTGCAGCATCGAGTGTGTTATAAGATACACCTCGTGTAAGGCTTTGTGCAGCATCGAGTGTGTTATAAGATACACCTCGTGTAAGGCTTTGTGCAGCATCGAGTGTGTTATAAGATACATCTCGTGTAAGGCTTTGTGCAGCATCGAGTGTGTTATAAGATACACCTCGTGTAAGGCTTTGTGCAGCATCGAGTGTGTTATAAGATACACCTCGTGTAAGGCTTTGTGCAGCATCGAGTGTGTTATAAGATACATCTCGTGTAAGGCTCTGTGTAGCGTAAAGTGTGTTATAGGTTACCTCTCGTATAAAGCTTTGTGTGGCTTCTATGTATACAAGCTTAGATCAGATTTAAATTAGTCCTTGTGAGGCAACGTGATCCTACTTCCAAAAATAAAATGCTTACCACTAACTTATGGTTCACAGGTTGTGAAGAGTCACTGTTGACTCGTCTCCGAGCAATAGCCCTGAGAATACTTTCAGCCTGGACAGAGCGCATAAGATTAGCAGTCGGACCAGACGACGCGCCGTGACCAGAAAGCATCGGGGACGATGCTCCGTCAGGAGAGGCCGTGTTAGGTGTAACTTCCTGTGGTGGCGCCACCGTCGTGCGGCGCGTCTATAAAAGGCTGCGAAACCCGGTGTGCGGCCTCTTTTGGTCGACAGACGTGCTCTCGAACGAATCTCCGTATCATACCGTGTTTGCTTTATAAGTTCTTTTACTGATTTTGTTAAAATTAATTATACGATTTGTTATCAGTTTCTTTTATTTAATTAAATTTAGAGGATACTCCTAACAATATGTATATAATTTAATTTATTAATTTGAATAGTTTAAATTGTAATTGTGACATAATTATCTTGAAAAAAAAAACATGTAATTACTATTGACGTGCTATTGTGTAACGATATTTGTTACATTTATGAATAAAATAATATGAATATGAATAAATTGAGAATAAATTGGGAGACGGACTGCTGTTAAAATTTAAATTAAGAATCGCAAGGCAATTGACATTGACCTGCAATTCTTAATTCAAATTTTCCCTCTAAATATGAGCTTCTGAAGTCAGCCTACCCCAATGGCAATTAATGTAATCTGTCATCATCATTGTCAGCCTTACTTCTAACGGTCGCGGGTTCGATTCCTCAACACTGATAGAGTATGTTTTAATAATGATACATTTAATGCAGTGTTTTTAATTATATAGTATGAACTTACCGTCATGTTATCGTCTAGAGGAAATAGAGTGTTGACATGCAAATCCACATAATAAAAAGGATTTCTTCTGTTAAATCGTCTCGATGATAAATTCACAAAAGAAAAGTATTTAGTATTGTAATATGTTACACGGGGACGTTCTGTACTTATGTATCGAATCTGAAACAGATTAGTTTAATGGATGTTTATGGAATGAGGCACCCGCCTGCGCTATCGTTTCACTATGGCAGGGCGTCAGTGGAGGTCCTTTAACCCATCGTGACAAATCGTTACATGTTCTTCTATTGTTAAAATACGTAATTAATATAATATAATGGACTAATATAATTAGTAAAAAACACGGGATCTTACCATTTGTTTGTTTCAATCAACATAATCACAGGTAAACTGAACATAGCGGTTGAAACACTGCAGAAATATCGTGGATTTAGCAATGACATGCAATCTTACCGTCTGCAATACTGGAAATCATCCCACCTTCACCTCCACTACAGTCGACACCATCCACGAATCCATAGTGGACATCACGCTGGCCTCAGGACGAGCTGCAGATAGGATAGCGGACTGGAAAGTCAATCCCGACATCTGTCCGGCATCGGATCACCACGGCATCGAATTCTACTACTACATCAAAAAACGAATCCTGAAAAAACAAGCCAAACTTACCACATTCAAGTACGCCACCTCTGGAACATGCTGGAACGAATTTAAAGAAAAACTTACCGATCATCTCCCCCTGGAAATAAAAGACCACAATAGAATCTCTAACATGAACTCTACAGAACTAGATAACTACATACACAGTCTAACTAATAGTATACAAACCTTCTGCGACGATCAGCTTCCCTGCTCCCGGCCCCGCGAAGCCCGATGCCCGTGGTGGAACGATGACCTGGAACAAAGTAAAGCAAAGGTTATTAAACAACATCATAAACTCAGTAGGTTAAAAAGACAGGGTAGACCGCTGGATGAAGCAATAGCCTTAAAAAACTCCCTTCGATTGGAATACTCAAAGTTGTTCAGTGAGTATTCCAACAAGCACTTCCGCGAATTCTGCAATAGACAGGGAAAAGAGGATGTATGGGCTGTCACTAATAGAATCATCAAAACCGCACCTGCACCGCAACCTCCAACTACAATACAAAAACCCGATGGGACCTTCACCCAAACCCCAATTGAAACAGCCGAAGCCATTCTCCACAAATTTTTCCCTGATGACACGCCGGACACTAGGCAGGCCCACCTGGAACATAGAATACAATCAAATCTACCCCCTCCCAATACCCCTAATGAACCCCCTTCACCATAGAAGAAGTCCTCCAAACTGCTAAAGAATCCAATCCAAAAAAAGCTCCCGGACCAGATCACCTAACCGCCGACATCGTTGTTGCAGTCGTCGAATCCATTCCCGAGGTGATCACAGCCGTCATGAACAGATGCCTTGAGATAGGACATTTCCCTACGATTTGGAAAGTAGCACGCATCAAACTCATCCCAAAGAATGGTCAACAGAGTAACGCCAATAGCCTTACCTCTAGACCTATAGGTCTCCTCAACATCCTAGGAAAGCTATTGGAAAAGCTCGTCATGCAACGCCTCACTCATCACATCTACACCACAAACGTCAACAACTCCCGTCAATATGGTTTCAAACCCCAAGTCTCCACCGCACACGCTTTAGATAATGCCATCAGCAAAATTAGAACAGCCTCATCATCAGGCTACCAAGTCCTAGCCGTATCCCTTGACATCAAAGCCGCCTTTGATCACGCTTGGTGGCCTAACATCCTAAATAGACTTAGACTCATCGGTTGCCCCAGAAACGTCTACGCTGTTCTGGCCAGCTATCTGAGGGACAGAACAGTCTCACTAAATCTGGCAGATGCCTCAGCCGCCAAACCACTGTCGAGAGGTTGCATACAGGGTTCTGTATGTGGGCCGGCAATGTGGAACCTGGTCCTGGACGGGCTTTTCGACCTGAGCCTTCCGGAAGGATGCCATCTTCAAGCATTCGCTGATGATGTGCTCCTGATAGTTCAGGCGAAAAGCGCGTCCAGACTTCAGGAGACGGCGGATGAGGCTCTGCATCAAATTAACAACTGGGGTTTGGATTCCAAACTTTCATTCGGACCATCCAAAACTGTCGCAATCACCTTCACCAATAAAGCCCGTAAGTGCCGTATCCATATGGACGGTCACATCATCCCATTTCATAATCATATCAAATTACTCGGAGTCATCATTGATCGCAAACTCACCTTCATCCAACATGTCAATCACACCATCGAAAAATGCACAAAACTATATCATAAAATCATCAAATTCATTCGTCCCACATGGGGTGTCAGCCCCGGAAACATTAGAACCATCTACCATCAAGTCATTGAACCCATCATCTGTTATGCTTCCGGAATTTGGAGCTCAGCGCTCAAATTCAAACTCTGCCAAAACAAACTCACCTCATTGCAACGATCATTCGCTATCACCATCATCAGAGGGTTCAGGACGATCAGCACACCCGCGGCTATCGTCCTGGCCGGTCTTCATCCCATATGTGGCAGGGTTCGGGCGGCTGCGCAGGCCGAGCTTGCTCGGGTGCGCAGAGTTGCCGGAATTCTGCCACATGACATTCCACTCGACTCACCCACTCCACCTTCCGATCTCCTTCATCCTAGGCAGAGAAGGGGAATATCCTTTATGGAAGCCGACTCTGCCGAGGAACTCACACACATTCTCGACCCCACCTCATTCACTTGCTACACCGATGGGAGTAAACATCACGGCAAGGTCGGTGCAGCGGTCGTCATCCGGAACCCGAGCGGCTCTACAGTTCTGAGCAAGAAGCTCAAACTGCATGATGTCTGCTCGGTGTTCCAAGCGGAGATGGCCGCCATCGACCAAGCATGCCAACTCATCATCACAAAAAAACTGTCACCCGCAATCATCCTCACGGACAGCAAGTCATCGCTGATGGAACTGTCCAATCATAATAGCACCAATCATCTCTGCAATAACATCTTTAAATCACTCCAACTAGCCAAACATCACAACATCAACATTTCATTCATTTGGATCCGATCACACATCGGGATATCTGGCAATGAGGAGGCCGACCTCGCGGCCAAATCAGCAGCCAACTCCCATTCATCCCCCTCATTCTCCAAATTCCCTCTCAGCTACATAAAACATCACTTCATGCAGTTAAGTAAAGCCGAACTAGAGGACTTATACGACACGACAGACAATTGCCAGTATACCAAGCAGTGGTGCAGCAATTACGCTGAGCTGCTGCTTGTGATACAGGCCTTCCCTCCAAACTTTCATTTCACCCAGCTTCTCACCGGTCATTCATACTCCAAATCATACCTCAAACGGTTCGGGATCACCTCGGACGACAAATGCCCTTGCAACGATGATGCTCCGCAAACTATGGAGCATCTCGTCAAGGAGTGTCCGAGGTTTGGTCCCACGAGGCTCGACCATGAGACGGCCTGTAGCATGGTTCGGGTCTCAGAACCATTCCATCTCCCATCCATCATCAAACATCAATCAACCATCGACACTTTCACATCACACATATCATACATCATTCACAACCTCAAACATTTTAATCAAACATAATCATCATCACCAACATTCCCATACCTCCATCATCATCATCATTCTCATACCATCATCATATCCATACCATCGTCATCCAAACCACCAACGTCTTTATTTTGTTTTCTTTTTTCTTCGTTTTGTTATTTTGTTTAATCTTTCATTTGTTTCGTTTTACATCTATTGTCGTTTTGTTTTGTTACTTTACTTGTTTCATATTGTTTTGTCTTCGTTAATTTTTATTTTGTTGTTACTTCTTTAAATTTGTTTTATTATACCAATAATGTTATATATCTTTAAAAATGTATATATTACAACAAGCTTATTCAATTTTACACCTAATAAAAACATAAGTTGAAAAATCCGTTCCAACTCTGCTGAAGCGAGCGTAAACCAAAAGCGCAAACGCTAAGGCATAAGAGTACATTAAACAGACTCTCAATTTAAAAAAAAAAAAAACCTAACCTAACCTAACCTTTTTTTTTTTTTTTTTTTACAAGGGGAAATCCGTCATGGAGACCCGCACGCCCCGGGGGAAGCGTGGGGGTACTGCCGGACTCCTACCGGCTAAAACCCCTTGGTGTCCTCGAGCGCTTTAGTGCCGGGGTTACGGGATCGAGACATTCAACCGTGATCCCCGGCAGCGCGGGCTCTTCAGCCCCACTCCTGAGTGGCGCACGCGGACACCACGCGCGCCTACTCCTGGCCTCATCCCTTCTTAGGTGACAGCCGACGCCCCCGCGTCAGCTGCCACGAGGCCCATGGTGGGAGGCGACGGGCCGGACTCGGCCTCCATCGTCTCCACTCTCGCCGCCTGTTTGGGCGGACGGCACCCTTTGGTGCTTCCCATTCGGTGGTCAGCCTTCCTCTTCGCCGCTGCACAATAGGGGCAGTGCGGCGAGGGGGCGGTGCACGAGGCGGCCTTGTGGCCGTCTTGTCCGCAGCGGAAGCAGGCTCCGCCGCGGTCCTCCTTGGCGGTGCACCGCTGGCCCACGTGACCCGTGAGCAGGCAGCGATAGCACCGCATCGGCCGGGGGTCTAAGGACCGCACCCGTGCCATCGTCCACCCCACTTTTAATCTGCCGGCATCGACCAGTCGCTTCACTGCTCCGATTGGGCCTCGGACCCAGACGGAGCCACTCCCTGAGGGAGAGCGCCGGATCTCCCCCGTTTTAACGGAGGCCTCGGCGCAGTCTCCCTCGCGCGCTACGGCTGCCACCACATCAGCTGCGGTTGTGGCATCGTCCAGGTCCAAGACGCGGAACTCCGCTGACTTGACCGGCCTGGTGACGCTGACCACCTCTGCCGGAAGCACCTCCGACAGTTTTGCGGCGAGGGCATCCGCCTTACCGCCGCTTTCCTCCAATGGCCCTGGCACTTCCAGGATACGGGACCCCGTAACGGCCAATCTGAATCCGAGTTCGGTGATTCCGAGGGCATCCAACTTGATCTTCTGTTGGGCCTCTCGGAGCACCGATGTATAACTCGATCCCGCCTCCGCAGCTCCCGGCTTCAGTGTTAACACTATCGCCGAGGAGCGCAGCTGGCGGAACTGCCTCCTTCGCGCCCTTTTCTTCTTGGCAGCCTCACTGTTGGCCTCCTTTTGAGTCGCCTGGGTAGACGTTTCGTGTCCTGATGCCGCCTGTGTGGCTGGGGCCGACTCCTGGCCCTTAGCCTTTTTGGCGCGCTTGCCTCTCCGGACAACGGTCGTCCACTGCTCGTTGGTAGTGGGAAGCGGCTGAGAAGCGCTTAATCCTGCCCTACTGGTGCTGGCAACAGGAGCCGCACTGCCTCCTTTCTTGGCCGCCCCAGGTGTTCGGGGTGCGGCCGTGGCCCGTTTGGGCGGCGAATTGTTCTGCCTGCCCACGAGCTCTTCAATTTTCTCAAATCGGGCATTGAAGATGTCACCGATTTGCCGAACAATCCGTGTCTCGACACTCTCGGTGATCACCGGGCCTTGCACACCCGGTTCAGCACCTCGAGCATCGGAAGTCACCTCCATGGCCGCACTATCCGGCAGTTTCGCCAAAGCCACTTTAGCCGCCGCCAGTTCGCTTTGGAGCGAATTGAGCGCCAAGCGGTCCTCGGTGCTCCTCTTGAGTAACTCCTGGTAGGAGTTGCGGGTCGCGGCGATCTCCCGCTCCCATTCCGCCCTCTCCGCCTTGAGCATGGCGAGCTCGTCCGTGCCCTGGGCGGCGGACCCCATGGTCTTCTTTTTGAGGTCCCGCAACTCCACGTAATACTTGGCGGACTCCTCCCTTATGGCGGTCATCATCTCCCGCATGTCCGCCAAGTCTCGTGACAACCGGGAGTTCTCTCGGCGCATTGCTACGCACTCAGTTGAAGATGTCCTCCCCGCCAATGACTCAGACGCCGCGCGGATGGTAGCTACGGCGTCCTTAATGTCCTTCACGATTGTGCCCTTCAGGTGGCCGGACTTCTTCACGGCATCAAGGACCTTCAGGGCACACTCCTGAATATCCGAAACCAGGACGTCAGATCGCTTCGCATCCTCATCTGATGGTCTGCGAGTTACCGAACGCTTCGCCGGTTTCGGAACAACCACTGCTGCAGCTGCTGCCTCCATCTCCACGTCTCTTTTTGTAGCGGCGGCCAATTCGGCCTTCGCATGCTCCAATTCAGGGTCATTGTCACCCCTCGTCATTTTCTTTGGCCCGGTACTGCTACCACCCTTTGTAACGGGCACCTTCTTTGCCGCGGATGAATTTGCGGGCTTCTGCGCCGGTGTTCTGAACACAATTTCTGGCGCGTCATTGTCAGTCTTGGGTTTTTCCACAATCCGCCTCTTGCGTTGTGATCGTCGTTGCGGCAAAGGTGTTGTGCCGCCAACATCGCTTCCCACCTCTGAGTCGAGGAGAGACTCGATCCGGAGAAATCCGAATCTAATCCCTCCATCGCTTCTGCCTCCATTTCCTGTAGCAGCCTCTCTACGTACTCTCTCCTCGCTGCATCTACCTCCTCATCTTCCTCCCACCCATGACCTATGTTGTCCCCCCCAGAATACGTGGGACAGCCCACCCCCGGCGAATCCGGTGCGGTGGGGAAGGATTCTCCAGCCTTGCTGGTACCTTCCTGGGGTAATTTGTCATTTTTAACATCTGTCATGTCTCCTGTGTTCCTTTTTTAACCGGGTGAGGTCCCGCGAAAGACGAAAAACGAAAACGAAGAATAAGGGGACAGAAAGAATATTAGGATAGGAAAGGGAAAACAACACAAATAAAACGAAGAAGAACGAAAACCAAGGAGAAAAACTATTTACAATTATACAACCTAAACCTAACTATTTACAAATAAATAACTGAACTATTTACACTATATACAACCTAACCTACTCGCCGGGCTACTGGCCGACATAGTAGCCGTATCCCGAAGGAACGACTACTATCCCGCCCGGGGCGTACCAGAACCAAACCATTGCTCGGCCACCGTTCCCCGCGGACGTATCCACGAGGATGGGGAAGCCTCCCAATGGCAGGCCCATACTAGGAGGTTGCCCGACCCACGCCCCAACCTAACCTTTTTTTTTTTTTTTTTTTACGTCAGGAAAATCCATCATGGAGAACCATTCCCTTAGGGAAGAATGGATACTGCCGGACTCCTACCTGCTAAAAACCTGACGACTGTTCCTCCTCGACATAATCGCCGTGGCCATGGGATCGCACAAGGCATTCTCCAAGACCACCGGCATGGTTCCCATCGAAGGGACCTTCCATCTAGGCGTGCAGGGAACAGTCTCTGCACGCCACCTCCCAGACCCTAATGCCTCCCCGGTGAGCTTCGGATTGCCCTAACAATCCTCCACCCTAGGGTCAAGTATGGATTCGATGCCCACACTGATCAGACTCAGGTGTCCATCGAATCCCCCCCCCCCGCCGGTAACCTGCGCCGCGGCTGCGGCTCTGGCCTTTGGCAAGCGGCACTGCTTAGTGCTGCCGACTCTATGGTCCGACTTGCGGTTAGCCGCAGCGCAGTACCAGCACTTTGGCGATGGCTCGGCACACCTCGCGGCCTTGTGGCCACCCTGACCACAGCGATAGCACTTATCGCTGCAGTCTTCCCCCGCAGTGCACCGTCGGCCCACGTGACCCGTGAGCAAACACCGGTAGCACCGCATGGGTCTCGGGTCGAGTGATTGCACCCGAGCCATCGTCCATCCCACCTTCACCCGACCTGCCTCGGTCAGGGCTTTGGCTGCTGCCACCGGGCATCGCACCCAGATCGAGCCAACACCAGAGGGAGTGCGCCGGACTTCGCCCGTCTTCACGCTCAACTCGGCGCACCCCCCCTGCCGCACTACTGCGGCGACGACGTCTTCGGCGGTTGCCGAATCGTCCAGGTCACTGATCCTGATTTCGGCCGATTTCTCCGGCCTAGTGACCCGGACGCTTCCCTCCGGGACGATCTCCGCCAGCTTCGCAGCCAGCGAATTCGCCTTGTCGCCGGTGTCGGCGCCTGGCACTTCGAGGATGCGACACCCAGTCACACCCAGCCGAAACCTAAGGTCGGTGATGCCGAGGTCGGCTAGGGAGATCTTCTCCTTCGCCTCTCGGAGCACCGACTCATAGGTTAGCCCCCCTTCTTCGGCCGCCGGGTCGATCGTAATGGCGATCGCCGACGAGCTTGGGGGCTTGAGCCTCCTCTTCCTCCTGCGGCGTTCAGCCGCTGCCTTCTTTTTCGCCGCGTTTTGCTGTGCAGCGGCAGCCGACTCAGCGGTGTTCTGCTGAGTGGCAGGGGCCGACTGGGCATTTGTCGTCCGGGACTTCTTGCCGCGCCGCACTACCGTCGCCCATCCCTCCTTATTTACATTGGGCGGCGGCGGCGCTCCTGCTGGTTCTTCGGCCCTGACGACTGGTGCCGGCTGGCTGAGCGAGCCCTTCTTCGCACCCACAGCGGCTGCCCGGTTAGCAGGCGGCCGAGGGGCACTCTTAGGCGCGCCCGGTTTGGACGGCGCCTTCCCTCTTTGGGCCTGTAGTAGGCCTTCTTCTAGCTTGGCAAACCGGGGGTTGAAAAGTTCCCCAATTCGCCTCACTAACCGGCTCTCGGCATCTTCTGCCGGTGACGGCCCCACAGATGGTGCAGGGGCCGAAGTCTCGTCCGGGGTCTCCATGGGAGTAGGTGCCGGTGCCGATGGCGGCGCCTCCTTCCCAGCTTCAGTCTTTCCCGCCTCACGTCTCAGCTTCCGCAGCTCGCAGTTCCCTGCCATCACCTGCTGCTTCAGCCGGACGTTCTCGATGCTGTACTCCCGTACTTGCCGCTCCAACTCTTCATTTGTCGTCTGGAGGCGACCCACCTGCGAGTCCGGGGAAGAATACACCTGACGCTGCAAGGCAATCATTTCCTTGCGCATCTTCCCACATTCTTCCCGCATCGCATTAAGGAGCTGACGTTGACTTGTCAGCTCTTGCGATAGGCGGGTGTTTTCCTTCCGGAGCTCCGCACACTCTACGGTCGCCGATCGCTCGACCAGGGTTTCGGACGCCGCCCGGATGGTCTTGGCAGCGTCCTTAATATTTTTTATAACCCCGCCTTTCAGATTTTTGGATCTGGCGATCTCCTCTAGGATCGCCGCAATCCCCTCCTCGATCTTGGATCCGAGCATATCTGCGTGCTGAAGTACCTTCGGGTGGGATTCTCCACCAGCACGCGTCACAGGCTTGGATGGTCCAGCAACAGGTTGCGTTGCCTCCTTCTCTAATCCGGTAGTCCCCGTCTTTACGGGAGCCGTCTTTTTCGTCGTCCTTGGTTTAGACGCCACCACCATGATTTGTGGCGTGTCATCGTCTGAGTCAAGTTGTGGTTTCTCGACGATCCTTCGCTTCCTCTGGGACACCCTTCGCTGTGGTTTGGGTGTCTCCTGTGTCAACGCCAAGTCACTCTCGATCCCTGAATGCAGGGAGAGACTCGATCCAGTTAGGTCGGACTCTAAACCCTCCATAGCCTGTCCTTCCATTTCAGTCAGGATCCTCTCTACCATATTACGTCGCTCTGTCTCCTCATCCAAACTCTCCACATCTCCCCACTCCTGGCATAAGCTGTCCCCCCCAGAATACACGGGACGGCCCACCCCCGGCGAATCCGGTGCGGTGGGGAAGGATTCTCCAGCTCGGCTGGTACCTTCCTGGGGTAATATATCTTTTTCACTGTCTGCCATTTCTACTGTTTTCCTTTTTTACCCGGGTGAGGTCCCGCTGAAGGCGAAAATGAAAGACGAAGGCTAAGGGGACAGAAAGAATATTAGGATAGGAAAGACTAACAACAAAACAAAACGAAGAAGAAAAACAAAACAAAACCAAGAAGAAACCTATTTACACATTTACAGAACTAACCTAACTATATACAAATAAATAACTAAATCTAACTAAGCCTAACTATTCACACTATTTACAGATTTTTGGCTGAGTGCCGAAAACGACACTCACCCCTACTCTACCCTAAACTATGAGCGAGCGCCGAAAACAACACCCGCTCCCTACCCTACAAGACAACGCCGAAGCTTTACACTACCACCTTCATTGGACGGACGCCATAGGCAGCGCCCATCCCCTACTCGCCGGACTACTGGCCGACATAGTAGCAGTATCCCGAAGGAACGACTACTATCCCGCCCGGGGCGTACCAGAACCAAACCATTGCTCGGCCACCGTTCCCCGCGGACGTATCCACGAGGATGGGGAAGCCTCCCAATGGCAGGAACATACTAGGAGGTTGCCCGACACACGCCCCACACACGCCCCAACCTAACCTTTTTTTTTTTTTTTTTTTTACAAGGGGAAATCCGTCATGGAGACCCGCACGCCCCGGGGGAAGCGTGGGGGTACTGCCGGACTCCTACCGGCTAAAACCCCTTGGTGTCCTCCGCTCGCCACTAGCGCCGGGGTTACGGGATCGACGTAGCAGTCCACCGCGACCCCGGCAGCGCAGGCTTTGCAGCCTCCTCCTCGAGTGGCGCGCGCGGACACCACGCGCGCCTACTCCCAGCCTCACCCTCCTTAGGTGACGGCAGACGCCCCCGCGTCTGCCGCCGAGAGGCTCTGGGTCGGTGGCGACGGGCCGGACTCGGCCTCCATCGCCTCCGTCTCCTCCGCCCGCGCCGGTGCGCGGCTCCCTTGCGAGCAGTTCCTACCGCTGCCCACGGCATGACTCGCCGGACGACCCGCCGCTGCGCAATAGACGCAATGCGGCGGGGCAGTGCAACCAGCAGCCTTGTGGCCCTCTCCGCCGCAACGGAAGCAGGCCTGACTGCGGTCAACCGCCGATTTGCACTGCGTGCCCACATGCCCTTGCAGTAGGCAGCGGTAACAACGCATGGGTTTCGGCTCTAGCACTGTTACGTGCGCCGATACCCATCCCACTCGTAAGCGGCCCTCCGCTTGAAGCTTCTTGGCGGCCACCATTGGGCAACGAACCCACGCAGCCGCGTTGCCAGACCCCGATCGGCGGACTTCCCCTGCCTTGACTTCCTGCTCAGCGCACCCGCCGCAACGCGCCACGGCAGCGACGACATCCGCTGGTGTGGCCGTGTCGTCCAGGCCCATAATCCTAAGATCCGCCGTCTTCACAGGACGGGAGACCTGGACCACCTCCGCGGAAAGGACCTCCCTGAGCTTTTCAGCGAGGGAGTCCGCCTTATCACCGCTAGCGGCGCCTGGCAACTCCAGGATTCGCGCGCCAGTGATGGCCTGCCTATAGTGGAGCTCAGTGATCCCTATAGTCTCCAGGGACACCTTCTCCTTCGCTTCCCTAAGTAGAGCCGCATACGTTACGCCTTTCTCGGCAGCCCCGGGCTGCAGCGACAAAACCACCGCCGCAGAGCGGGGCGGCCTAAGTCTGGGCTTCCTCTTCTTTCCCGCGGTCGCTGCCTTTTGAGGCTGCGATTTAGTCGCCGCGGGTTTCTTCGCCGCGTTCTTGTCCGTGTTCTTCGCCCCACGACGAACCACGGTCACCCAACTCTCCGTCATGGTGCGGGGAGCGGGCGCCAGCTCCTGTACTCCAATAGGAGCAGCCGGACTAGTAGCTGCCGGTGCGATAGCAGCGGGTGCTGGAGCCGACGCCTTTCCTCTTCCTTTCCCTTTCGGCCCTGCCGAACCGCTCGCCCGCACAGCAGGCGTAGCCGTCGTGGGCCTCACCACCGGTGCCGGAGGGAGTCGCTCCTCGATTCTCGCCAGGCGAGCATCGAGTCGGTTCTCCAACCTCCTGGCTACCCGATCCTCTAGTTCTCGTAGGGCGTTGGGCCCAGCCGCTAGATCTCCAGATTGCGCGGGGGCGGAGGTCAATGGCCCAGCGGCCGTCTGCACCTGCGCCTCCTGCAAGGCGACCCGGAGTTCCAAGATTTCCTTGGCAATCTTTTGGTTCTCGGTTCTTTGGGCGGCTACCTGCCCCTCTAGGCTCGCAACTTTCGCGGCCAGAACCGAGTTTTCCTTCGTTGCCGACCGATTCTTTAGAATGTCGGCTGCGTCTCTGATAGCATCCACAGCATCCCTGATGTCCCGGATGGTGGTGCCCTTTAGGTTTCCGCATTTTTTAATTGTGACGTTCACAATATCGGCACATGCCTCGATCTTGCTTCGAAGTGCATCCGCCGTCCACTGGAGCTTCATTGGATCTCCACCCCAAGTGGCACGAATGATCCCGAGTCTTTCGTCAAAATTCCTTTGACCTTCCTTCACAGCTGCCTTCATGGCCTCTATTCGGTCCTCCGCTACCCTGGCCCGAGCACTTTCACCTTCACCCTCCGAGTCGGAGTGTGAGCGCCTACGTTGGCGCTTTCGCCGACTGCGCTTCCTATCCAGGTCACTGTTGCCGTCTTCACTTCCTGTAAAGAGGGAAGTGGTCGAACCTGTTATGTCCGACAAATCCTCCTCCATGAGGATGTCATATCGTCCTGCGCTGAGGACACTCTCGAGTTCTCCTCTCTCTAACCTCACCCTCAGCTCTTTCTCCAGTCCTAACTCCTCCCTACTTACACCTCCTCCCTTCTTCCCCCCCTTCTGGCCTTTCTTGTCCCCCCCAGAATACGTGGGACTGACCGCCCCCGGCTTACCCGGTGCGACGGCAGAGGATTCTCCACCCGATGGACGGGTGGTACCTCCCTGGGGTATTACTCTTTTCGGATCAGCCATTATCATCATTGGTTCCTTTTTTACCCGGGTCTGGTCCCGCATACAAAACAGAAAGAGGAAAAGAGAAACAAAACAAAATTACAGAAAAGAACAAAGGACAGAAAAGAATAGACAAATAAACAACTAAAAGAAACAAAATAAAACGAAGACAAAAGAAAAGAAGACTAAACTAGAAGACACTAACCTAACAATATACAAATAAATAACTTAACCTAACTATTTACACTATTTACAGAATTGGACGAGCGCCGAATACGACACCCGCCCCTAACCTACTCGCCGGACTATCGGCCGACATAGTAGCCGTATCCCGAAGGAACGACTACTATCCCGCCCGGGGCGTACCAGAACCAAACCATTGCTCGGCCACCGTTCCCCGCGGACGTATCCACGAGGATGGGGAAGCCTCCCAATGGCAGGCCCATACTTGGAGGTTGCCCGACACACGCCCCACGCCCCAACCTAACCTAACCTTTTTTTTTTTTTTTTTTTTTTACTTGGAGAAAATCCCTCATGGAGACCCGCCGGCCCCGGGGGAAGCCCGCGGGTACTGTGAGACTCCTACTCACTAAAAACTCCAAGATGTCCCTCATATGTCGGAGTCGCGGGATCGATAACATTCAACCGCGACTCCGACGGCGGTGGCCCACTCTACAGCGGGCCCCATCTCTGCGGGTTCCCTGTGGAACCCACCACTTCCCCCGTCTTCCCTGGGGAAGGCGCGCGGGGACATGCGCGCGACTTCTTCGGGCCTAGTGTGGTGGGGTGGGACCGCCCCCGCGGTCGTCACCCCGGCCCGGTAGCGATCTAGGAGCGGCTTGGGCCGCCCCTGCCTCCTTGATCGCTGGGAGGAGAGATGTCCATCCCCTCCTCTGCACCACTCCTACGGCCTGGGGCCTGTGAGGCGGGCCGTTTCCCTCTCTTACTTTTGGGCGGGGTGCACTTCTTTCTCCCCACCCAATGGTCTGCCGGCCGCCCCTGGGACGCACATACTGCACATCTGGGGGCTGCGGCGCACGCTGCGACTTTGTGGCCCGCCTCTCCGCATCGGTAACAAAGGCCGCTGCGGTCCTCCTCCTGCGTGCATTGGCTCTAGGGTGCCCGCCCTGCAGGCACCGGAGCACCGCAGCGGTCTTTGCCGCAGCAGCTCCACCTTTGCGGAAACCCAGCCTAGCCGGATATGCCCCTCCTTGGTGACCTTTTTGATGGCCGCCATAGGGCCACGGACCCAGCAGGACCCCAGGGAATTGGGCCTGCCCCTTCTTATTGGCCCGACCCTTACGACCTCGGCCTCACACTCACCCTCACGCGCAACGGCGGCGGCGACATCCTCCGGCGTCAGTGAGTCATCCAGGCCCATGACCCGCATTTCCGCGGTTTTTGAGGGCCTGGAGACCTTGGCCACATCCTCCGGGATTAGGGCCCGGAGTTTGGACGCCAGTGCGTCGGCCTTCTCGGCGTTGTCAGTGCCGGAGACTTCCAGAATCCGCCCCCCGGTAATCGCGGATCGAAGCCGCAAGCCGTCTATTCCGAGGGGGCGGAGATCTATCTTGTCCTTGGCCTCGCGCAAGATGTTGGCGTAAGTGACGCCCTCTTTTTCCGCCGCTTCTCCGATGGTTATAACCACCGCCGCTGAGCGGGGCAGCCGTAACTTTGCGGGGAGCGGCGGACCCACCTTCTTTTTGGGCGTCTCCTTAGCCTTCTTTACCGCCTGAGTAGCGGTGGCCGTCTCCTGGTTTTGGGGGACCGTGGTCATCTTCCCCGACTTCCCCTCACCACCTTAGCCCATGACGAGCTGCCGGCGGTGGGTTGTGTGGCTGGAATAGCCGGGGATTCCACTGCTGGGGGTTGTCCCTGGGGCGCAGTTTTGCTCGCCCTCTTGGTCTTGGCCTTGGACCCGCCTTTTTGGCCTGGGGGTCAGAACCCCGGCCTCCTACTTCTAAAGCGGGCTGCGGGGCCGCTGCTGCCTGGGACTGCGCCAAGGTTGGTACCGCTGGTGCGGTTTGGACATCGCTAGGGAGGGGGGATTTGT